GAGCCCCAGAGAGGATCTCCTCTCCCCTCATGAACATATCATATGAGTTGGAGTATTTCTGATCAAAAACAAAAAGAAACATCACCTGTGATATAAAGCTACACATCTGATAATGAGAAGAGGGAAAAAGTCCTTGACACAAAACATAAAGACTGCAAGTTGTCAACGGTGCAGTCTCGATCAAGAGACAACAGTACAAAGCTCAAGAAACTCTTAAGCTGAATTCAAGTGCACCTGAACAGGCTGAGTTCATTCACATCAAGATTCCACATAGACAAGATACTCACTAAAATACATAAATCAGCACTGCAGTGACTTCTCTCAGTCACTGCTTTCAGGTTTCTCATGATGCCATAAAACATTGTATTGATACTCTGTTCAGATTCTTCCCAACTTTGCTAAAGGGAGCTTTACATGTGTAACAAAGCCCACTTTGTTATCTCAGCAAGGACAGAAGGCTGAAGAGTCTTTGGCCGTTTAACAACAAATCAACCACAAAGCTAACATGCAAAAATTTGCATGCTGCACAGTTCTAACCATGTCACCAGTAATGTGTGTGTGCGTGTGTAATTAAGTGACAGACTTACAGGGTTGTTTGGATCAGGCATTGTGTAGAAGGGTCTAACAGCCAGTGGGTACTTATCCAGCACATAGAAGTCAGTATCATACTGAGGACAAAAGACAGTGTAGAAGCAAACAGTCAAGAGTCACATACCTGAAGAAGAAACACTGAAGTTTCTGCTTTTCTTTATGTAAGGTAGCAAAAAGCCTATATAATTAACTACTTATTCCTGCTTTTAGCAGCACTGCTCAGTACTGTGTGTTTTCACCATGTTAGGTCATAAATAAACTGTCAAATATTATTTTTAACTCCACCTCAAGAAACAGCAAGTGGAGAATGCATTGTGGCTCAGGCATTAGGAAGTGCCAGACAGATCAGCTTGTTTTTTGATCCTCTCTGATGAAGTCAAGACAGGTGATGTGCATACGTGCTGATTTTAATGTTAAACCCATCAAATGATGACAATACTCTTACTAAATTGTCGACACACGTCTTAACATACCTTTTCCTTGACAAGACGGCCAAGAAGCTTTTCATTGGGCGTACTACACAACAACAAAAAAGGTGTTAATTTTCATGCTGAGACTGTATCTTTCTGTGTCGCATTGTTTTGCTGTTACATGCCTCTGGCTGAATCTTATAAAATTATTTAATTCACCAATAGTGTATTTAAAGTCAACAGCACAACAAATAAAATCTCCCAACTGCTGTAAAGTGTAAAACAGAACAGATCATAACATTCAGTCAAATCCTAAAATGTTACTGGTCTGTTGTTTCACTTTCCTCTTTTTGAACTTGTGCCATTACTTTCATCAAATTAAGTCATCCGAACAGATGAGTGGGATGCGGTGTACACAGCATGTGATGTGTTCTGACCTGAGGTCATCCTCGTCACCCATCTCTACCCCGGCCTCGTGCAGCATGGCCACGGCCTCGGTGTACTCTAACCTCAGAGTAGGCTCTAGGAATTTGAATGGCTCACTGGGAAACTGCTTGTTCACCGTCTGGATCTCTGTCTGAAAGCTGATGCAAGCAGGCAGGAGAGCACACACACGCACACACAGACGTATAATATAAACAAGGGTGACAGCCCACACAGGCCAGTGAATTTTTAAGAAAACATTTTAGTATTTTAAAGCCTTGCATTTTTGTAGTGCTTAAATATCAAAGTCTGTCCCTGCTACTCATGCTACGTGCTTCTCTTGCCATATACAGAGTAAAGCAGCGCTACTGGAGCTGGTAGAAATACGTCAATGGAAAAGGGACAATGCAAAATAAATTACAATTATGAGCACTATTACAATAGGGGTGATAGAAGAGCAGCATTTATGATGGGGTTATAATACAGCAACCTATTTTTGTTTGCTTATGAAAATATGACAGAGCTAACAGAGACCTAGTCATTGTTGCCAGAATATCAGTCAAATGCACATGCAAAATCATTTGATACTTCAAGGAAGAACAGTCTGGAAAGTCATGAGAACAAAGAGACAAACAGTCAAACTGCCCTGAAAAAGAGGAACAACAGTCACAAGCTCAGAGGGCAGCTAACCTAACATGACCCCTCTCTGGAACAGTCACAGAGACATTTAGTTCATCCAGTGTTCAAAAGGGTTTTTTCATTATGTGATAAAGAAATCGGTGGATGTAAAGCCACTTCTCATTTTCCTAATAAATGCTCTAACATTTTTATACATCACATCAGCCAAATCTCCCTAAATGGTTGACTTCCATTTAGGTCTGCTGCTTACACTAAAAAAATCCAGCAATACAACTACTGGATCCACAACAAGTGAACAAAGTAAAAATCAAATCAGGTAGCCCACAGAAGCTTTACACCTTTTGTCCATGAAGTGGTTTGGGTGCTATTTGAATGTGTAAGATGGGGAGCAGAATTCTGTGTCATAAATATAAAATTAATGGTAAAACTGATTAGAAAATTTCATGACTTTACTACAAAGAGGGGCAAAACTCATCGCTGCACTGTGTCAAATGGCAATTAACAGTAGGTATAAAAAGACATTCAACTGCAAAATAAGGGTCAGGCAGCCTGTGTAAGGCTATTTTCTCTTGGTGTCCAGTCAGTGCTATTCGTTAGCAGTGTTGCCACAATGATAAGACAAAAAGAGAGAAATGACTGGCATACTAAGTCTAACATCCACTACCATTCACAAACATCTGAAGCTGGCAATGCTGCTGGTTCCATCATCATCTTTTTAAACCATCATGTGTTGCACTGACTCACACCACTAGGAGGCAGTAATGCAACATCATAACATTTACTTGTTGGCTGTTCACTAGAGAGGATGAGTGGAAATCTCTTTTGACTGTTTGACAGAGCAGACAGCAGTTGATCTGGATTCAACAGCTTAAACAGTTGTAATATTTAAACTTTTTGCCTTCCATGAAGTTTCCACATCCAGAACTGATCTTGTCAAAATTCAGTTCTTGTGTTGAGAGGGAAACAAAACTTGAGCACCCCTGTCATTCACATCAGCTTTTTGGCACCTTAACTCACAAAAGTTTTGAGTATAAAAAAAAACACCAAGAGACTTTGTAAGTTCAAAATAAATATGTCAGCCTATTAGCTTTGGTCTTGACTGTAAGGATCCTAATCTTACTTGTCTCTCAGGCCTTTGAAGATCTGAACCATAGTGTCAGTGATGGAGTCGATCACTTCGTGGTAATGGTAGTTGAAGGCCATCTCAATATCCAAACCCACAAACTCAGTCAGGTGACGGTGGGTGTTGGAGTCCTCAGCCCTGAAAACTGAAAGGGTGCAGTTTTAACGTCAGTGTCTAAACAAACAGATCCAGAGGAGAAGTGGCAGGTTTCAACACAACTTCCAGTGAAATTACCTTTACTGCAGTGTTGCTGTGTGCTGGGGATGCACCTGACCAGGTCACAAGGCATAACTTTATACACAGGGTCATTAAGTTCACCATCTGCCCTCTATGTTCAGACTCATTCCATTAAATTTCATGAAAATGGGACGTGTTAAGAGACTTCGATGAAAATGTTTTGTCGCCAGCAAACACTTTACTAATGATACTGCTATAAGGCTTTCAATTTTACCTTGCATCAGTGATTGTGAAGCACTTTGTAAACTGTGTGATATGAGTGCTATATCTAAATCATAACTACTTTTACCTTTCTGCTGATTAAGATATCAGTGCAGATGACGGTTCGCAGGTGCCTGTATGATGAATTCATGTCAGTATGAGGGCCACATATAATTAGCCAGAGTTGTGTGTAATGGCTGTGCGTAGGCATGGCTGCTCTGTCGATGCTGGAGGGCTGCACTAATGTGAAATGGAGCTGCCGCTTCCTTTTGGTTCTTTTCATTTACAGGTCTACAGAGTGGTGCAGAGGACTTTACACAGACATGCAAACTGTTGATTAAATGTGTGCCTCCACATAGGCTTTAACCGAGTGGACATAAGACACAAGCACGATACTTCCCAGTGATTGTGCATTTTATTTAACAAATCAATGGCTTTACAAATCTGCATTTGCATGTTTTTACTTTTGTATGCACACAGAGTTTTAGTTAAGAACCTACATGTTTATGCATTTGTCTCTTGTATACATTTACTGAAACAACCAATAAAAAAAAAAAATAAAACTGCAAACAGAATTAACATGACATCTGCTACTCTGTGCTGTGCTTACACATATCTGCTCCCTGTGGTCCTGTCTAGCTGATTTCAGACAACACTTAAACACAACACTTAAACACAGTGGTACTTCTGGCCACTGGGATTTCGAGGAGAGTTGATCCTAGTTCTACTTTCTTGCTGAAATGGTGCAACCGTAACTAAGGCAACAGTGGCGAGTGCAATGATACCTTAGAAGCAGTAATGACCTTAAGCCCTTTGATTTCTCTGGTGGAGCCACAGAGAAGCAAACCTTGGTCCAGCCAGAAGAACAGTGAAGGTGCATTCTCCCAGATGTTTTATGTTATCTTAGGTGAGAATCATGTATCAAGTAAAAATAAAAAATAAAAATCAGCAACCAACTCAACACACTTATGTGTTTAACACTATTTATGTTTACTGAAAATGTTGGCAGTGTTTGCATAGCTAAAGAGCTGGGCATACTCTTTAACCCACTTACATACTATTAAATCTTTTAAAAGCTCCATTGTGTTGCTACCACACTAAACCCCACAGCAGGTCTGACCACTGTGAAAGCAACAAAGGGAGGTCTGTTCAAGTTTAACAATCTAAATGCATTTGGAGCCATTTTAAAGCCATCATCTCAGTTCATAGGGTCGATAGTTTTCACAGCGCTCTTGCTGCTCATTTCGCTCTAAGTGAATGAAAACGTTTGAGGGGACAGATGGGCGGCGATCTTACCTGGACCCACACAAAAGACCTTGTCAAAGTCAGCACAGATGCACATCTGCTTGTACAGCTGAGGAGACTGGGCCAGGTAGGCGCTGGTTTTAAAGTAGGACACTGTGAAGACGTTGGCTCCTCCTTCACTGGCAGCTGGAAGTGGACAAAGACAGCTCTTAGATATGAAATGAGACTCTGAAGCAAAGTGACAATACTCACTTTACAAACTCAAACCACCCCACAAATGATGATTGTTTATTTATATTTTATTGCATGGTTTATTTTAACTTGTTTTTAATTACCTATGACAAATAAGGTGTGGATCTATATGAGTCACACTAATTTCACTGTACATAAGTATCTACTGCATAAAACCTGTTCGCTAGATTTTTCTCTTGTTGAAAATACAGATATTTTTATGACACCTTTGGCTAACAAACTGTGATGCAGCTTTTTTTGACTGCAAACTGCTGGATACTGGCAAAAGTCATTCAAATAAATTCAATTTTAACATTCATTTAATTAAAAAATGGATGACTGGCATGTTTTTCTAAAAACATACATGTCCTACACTTGTATAACATGAGCCAGACTTGCATAACACATTTGCGGTTCACTGGGACACAAATGTCAGAGATATTGTCTAATGTCGTCAAAACTAGGGTGGGGGTTCACATTGCACAAACTGTTCACTGCATGTGCTATGGGTGTGGGCAGACAGGAAGTGGTTTTTGCTAAAAGTACAGAGTCGATTCACACGCGCCGCCAAAATAAAAGAGCGGCAGCTTTGAATTTGAATGTTCTAGTGTGAGCTAATATCATTGGCTCTTCAAAAAAGGAAATGAGAGTGCCACGGGTTACACCACATTTCATTTCAAATTTGATAAGTATGTGGGAGGCTGAGGACTGAGAATCAATGTACAACACTACTGTAGTGTCTCAAGGAAAACTGAATCGTTAGTCATTCTATTTGTAACATTAAAACTGATTACATTTTAAGTCGATTCCTAATGATTTCTGTATTTCTTACCAATGATATGCACCCCTCTGAGGTGTCACTAGGCTTTAAACTATAAATTCATTTCAGCTGAAGAATAAAAAAGTTAAACTTGTGAACATTGAATACCAAGTAATCTCTCACACCTGATGTTAAGAAATAGATGTCAGCATGAGAGAAATGCCACTTAAGGAACAGCTCAAATAACTGTCTGTTGAATGTTAGTGCAAAGTCTTCCCTCATACCACTGATGTGGGATAGGGCCTTTTGAAACAAACTTAGGGAAAGGCCTCCACTGTCAAGTGAAAAGGGCGCTTATGGAAATGTAAAAGCAGAGGAGCTGATGTGAGAGTTGGTTGAGGCACCAAAACTCCCAGAGGGCTGAATTAAAAACCTGGATGGTCTGAAACAATTAAACTGTCTAATAGCTTCTTGTCTGTTGTTTGCTTGCATGGCTCTGTTTTTGGGTCAGACACTCTGTTAGTCATTAAAGCCGTTACGTGAGTTTCAACTGAACTTCAAGTTTGGTTCCAGAGTTGAATTGCAGTCTAAAAAAGAAATGGGCAATCCAAACAGGAAGTCAACAGTACAGCTGTCACACGGTGACTCATGGGACACCTGTGGGTGATGATATTGAAACAAGGCTGTTTCTTCTGAAACATCTAATCAAAAATGATTCAAGGCATGTTAATGTCAGTTTTCCCCTGGGGCAGGATCAATGTGACACACAGTGTCTTTATACCTGATATGATTTTAGGGGTCTGGATCTCCACAAAGCCCTTTTTGGCGAGGGTGTCTCTGAAGAGCTGGCACACACCTGACTGCAGGCGAAAGATGGCCTGGCTGGTGGTCGTCTACGTGAGGATACACACACACACACCCACACACACACTGTGCGCGGTCTGGTGGGTGTCTGTGTGAGGACACACACACACACACACACACACACACACACACACACAGGGCCATTATCACACTTAGCATGATTCATTTGATTGATTACGCAATCATAAATGATGTGTGGAAACAAGACCGCCAATTTTTGTTCGTGCAGTTCCTCTCGGCACAAAAGGTGAACCATTTATTTGCTGGCAAGAGCAAGACATGCATTCTAACCCAGCAAGAGCTATGAGAAGTTTAAACCTACATTTTTTTATGTAAATACTGAAAGCAAGGCATGCAATACAACTGCTCTAAGTACACCAGGAGATTACGGTAAAAACCTAAGCCCCAAAAGCCCCCTAAAACTGCGACAGAGTGTGTCATAACTTAAGTGAACACTCCCTAAAATCCACTGACTCATCTCAAATGACCACATGATTTCTACAGTTGCGCTTCAGTGGCTTTCACCTCCTGTTACTATTCATCTTCATGAAGACAGGCCCTGGTCCTTTCAACACAGGTCTGCATTAATTAAAAGGTTCCATTTCTCCTTCTCTTCCCATCTCTAATGTCTATCCTCTCCTGAATAGACCTGTTTGAATAACAGCTGGCAGAATGGAAAGGTGATAATGTCTAAATATTGGCAAGCTCATTAATCTGCCGACAGTGCCTTGGGGCTCCTGGCAGAAACTTTTCTTTCATTTCCAATCTGAATACTTCACAAAAAGAAGAAGTGAGGAAAAATGTAGAACTTTCCTGCTTTAAACCACTTTTACCCACCTTTTAAAAAGCAGTGAACCAAATAAACTATTCTACCCTCACACCGCCTTGTGACTCATTTGTATCATGTATAACAACTGAAAAAATCAACCTGAAACCAGTCTGTGGAGGACTATATTCAAACATTAGAAAGCAATTCCTGTTTACAGCAAGTCTGTGTCGAGGTGGGAGAGTGCGTAGCGGTTAGTATCTGAGCCTGGCAGTTTGTCTGAAGGTGGCCTTGCAATGTGGTGCCTCATAAAAAAAGGTGAGGTGCCTCTCAGTGGCAAACAGTACCCAGCTGTGGTGACAATCCACCACAAGCAGGTCTCAAAGCACTAAAGAAAGGTTATATATTTGCCTGGGTTCACTCCTGTGCTCACCTTCAATTTTCTTTTTACAAATTCTGCTATTTTCAAATTAGTCGGCAGCTACTCACTTGTGATTCTCACTTGCTGTCAAATGTGATGCTTTTCTTTGTCTTATGTGATAAACTAAATTTCATTACATTCTGGACTGTTTCTCATGCCCATGGTATGCTCATTTCCAGCCATTTAATGTTTAATCTTGGGTATCTCTAGATTAGCTTTGCACCCCTCATAACTCCAAATACTCTGTAATTATTTCAGAACGATAAAACCAAAGAGCCTCTTTGGAAAAAGAAGAGAATAGTTTGTGAATGCGCACAACTCTTGCTGCTGGTCTTGTGTTGCAAGCAAACCGGAAAGGTATTAATGTATTTGAATTTCTCCTCCATAGATAGATAAACAACGGTATATTTACCGATGAAAAGAGATGTTTAACACACTAAACCAAGTGGGTAGTTGGGAAACCTCATATTTTAACTGGCATAATGCAGACAGGACGTGCAACTGCCTGAAGATTATGACCATTCAAGGAGATCCTTAAACCATCATGTAATACTTAATTTTGTTAGAAAAAAAGTCTTGTGAGCGAGATTTTGCGAGACTTTTACAAACTGAGTTGTTTCTGCAAAGAAGTACTAGAACACACATACACCACATTTTTTGAGCTTTTGAGGTCACATCTAAGATGATAATTCACCACTGGAACATTGTAGAGAAGTCAGAAAACAAGGAAAAACATGCCATGGGCTCTTTACAGATGCCACACTGGGCTTTACAGAATTGTGATGAGTATTTTCACAGTTCTCTGATGTTCCATAGTGTAAAAATTTAATTGCTAACCAAGAAAATAAATGGCAGGTTAATCAATACTAAAAATGTTCATTAGCTGCAGCCCTATGGCAAATAAAAACTTGACTGATTCTCATATAAACTTACAGTATTTTCTATAATGCTGAGATAATGGTACCGACTGACCACACAGGATTACTGTCCAAAAATGACCTTTAAGTCCAACTGTCCTCTACAAACTCAATTTAAAAATATCACAAGCAAACTTTTCCACTGTGTTTTCGTGTGCAGCACCTTATGTTTACGTATGGTCAGGTTACAAGGGGAGTTCCATAGGAACTCAATTATTATTGCCCAAGCTTTATGGTTCCTTTTCAGTGTCTGTTTGCTAGAGTGGGAAACACTTGATAGCTTCAATAGGCTCCAAAGAGCAAAGCTGATGACAGATTTGCGTCTGTGAGCTTACGGTGTTACAGAAGCAGGTGTTGTTGTGAGGTTTGTGAGCTACACAGCATTGTACTGTGGTGTTAGTGCCTTCCTGCCTGCCTCATCATCCATGTGGGAGGCACAGATCAAAACAATGAGGTACTTTGTGGCTTGGTGTCTTCTGCTGCTCGCATAGGTTTAAGCGCATCTCCCACACTGCACAAGCTTCACAACATCAGCCCACTAAAATCACAGACTCTTGCTTTTTACTTCAGAGGTGTGAAGATTTGCTTTGCATGTCAATATACATACAGCAACTTATAGAGTTGCATGCTTTGCCTTTATTGTGAGACATATTTCACACTTCACAGTTTTTACTTTTGCTTTTATAACTGCACTGCATGAAAAGTGATAGACTGCAATTCAAGATTCCTATATCACTAGATAAAATTAATATTTGGTTATTATGCAATTTGGACATATTAATAGACTCGAAATTTTAATAAAAATTGTGGAAAAAGAGCCCTAAAAAGGCCATCTTTTTTTCATCCTGTCAGACATCTTCACGACCCCTAATGTAAACATGTCACTTATGAAATTAGATAAACCAAGACAAATCCTTGGCAGGTTTGCTGGGTACTCAGGCATTTGTTTCACTGTGTTTTCTTCTGCTCTGGTAGCATCTTACCCTGAGATCAATCACCCTGTTGTCCAGCCTGGTGTCCTGGTTGACTGTGGCTCTGCCTTCCTGAGGACAGACAAAAAACATCATTGCATCACCAAAAACCCGGTGAACATGAATAATGCAACTATTCTTTTCACAGCAGAATTTGTTGTCAATGCCTTTTAAAACCTCACAAACATGAAAATTAATTAGATGCAATACTAGTTATTTTTAGCATTAAAAAGCCAACCTAGCTATTTGGTGCTCTAAACACAAACAAGCCTATCAACCTGGAAAAAAAAGCCCCACTAACTGGTCCATATCATTTTTCCCAATGAAACTAAAGACACTGAACCCTGTACAGCCGCCATGCTCATAAAGCTTAAACACCTACAAATAAAAAGAAGGTTGCCTTATATAATGTAGCAGCCATGACAGGGTCAGCTACAACAAAAGACCTGCAATATGAGACAAAGAAATAATGGAGAAAAGAAAAAATGGAAACAAATGGAAAAAAGTCAAATGTTTCATCACAGGAAGAACCGCTGCTTCCAGTGTCAAGCATGTCAGGGTTCCTCAGAGCACCTGCTGAGGTTTGAGCTAATAGTCTGTGTAGCCACATCCTGCCCCACACAGAGGGACAAAAGGTCGGATGGGTAGACAGTCAGATAGACAGGGCTGTTAAGGCCTGTGTCTCTCGGGAAGGCAGGTGCTGCTACGAGCTGAATCCTTGCAGATAACACCTGGGGTGATGCTGCAGCTGTAGACATCGGCTTACTGAATAAACAGACACACTCTCAGCTATCTCTGGTTTGGGAACACCCATATATTGATTCGCTCATAGTATTATATGATACTACAAATTTGGATATTCTACAGCTACAGAAAAAACAACAGTGGCATTTATACCATCTATTAATATTACAGATTCAAAACTATATTAAGTCAGTTAATACAAATATTTGCAGCAAATAGCTGTATCTTTAATAAACTGGTAATAAATCACTATAAACCTTTCTGAAGTGATAATTGCAGTTCTTTTTCTCAAAATACCAGGATTTATCACTACAAATCCAGCATTTCACAAATGCCAGAGCGACACAGTGACCAGAACATGCTGTAATACTCATCTGATGATAATTTAGAAGTTTGGCAAACTGATAGTTATTTAATGGTTATACAGATATAGATAAAAGCATTATGTGTCCAACTGAATTGGCAACCAATCACTGCTGTTAAGCCAGTCACTGTCAATGCAAAACAGCACTCAAAATTTCATAATCTCTAATAACCACCTAGGCTGTAGGTAGGGAAAATAAGGGCTTCTGAAATGCATCACAATTCTCTCAAATTAGTCTGCACCGATGCATAGATCTCCTTAATTGGAATTCAGAGGGCTCCATAAACCCTGGCTGCCAGCTCTTATAAACAATGTGTGATGAAATCACATTTTGCATGAAAAGAGGTGAGTCAAATGAAGTGATGTTTGACTGAATGCAATGTTAATCAGTGTGAGCCATTCTGCTTTTGATCTTGTTTAATTTAACCAGGTTTAATTACCTAATTCTTGACTGACATCTTCACTCCAGTGAAGGGTGAAGTTATTGCACTGCATGGATATGCTAGAATTATGGTTTTGATATACAATATTCAAATAAATTAAGGCTTAACTGCTAATTACGTTGTTGTCATTGTATAGTGTGATAAAACCTATTCGTGCATGTCATAACTTTAAGACAGTGAAATCTAACACGCTCTGAAATTAAAGCAGAGTGGGCAGCTACACCCAAATCACAAAATTACAAAGAACATGATGCAATATTTCATGAAAATATTGCATGGTGGATGCTTAAGAGGGTTTTAATCACCTACCTAATGGCACTAGAATGTCCTGTAATCAGAGGGAACTACAGTGCCCTGCTCCACTGAAAAGAAAATAATTCATAAGATTGGCCAGGGGTGTTAGCCAGTACTTCACACTAGGCACAGAGAGGGAAAAAGGGCACTGGAGAGTCTCCACTAGTGAGGATCCTGGGTGAAGTACACTTCCCATGGCCACTCATCAATTCCTACATTGGTCCTCACCTCTTCCCCCTCTCCATCAGGCCTGACAGCATCCTCTAACTGCAGTGGGAGACGAGGCTCTGCCTGGCTGATGACGAAAATCTGAGAAGGGAAAAAAACAAAGGGCATAAAAAATTTGGATGGTGACAAACCACCAATGCTTCAACTGGATCTTATAACAGTAGAAAGGGCCTGGACTCCATACACGGGCAAAAGAACTGAAAGGAGGAGACACTGACAACCTCTTTGTTAAATCCTCATCTATAGCATTTTTCAGACACCCAATCCTTTCCATTAAACTGACCGACTTCATGCCTGAACGAGCATCCTGCTCACTTTTCTGTAAAAGTCGTGACAGCAATCTTACTAGGTCAGACCTAGTAACATTTACTTATCACTTTGAACATGGCACAAGTCTGAACTACATGCAGATTAATGGATAGGCACGCACAAGATTATACCAATCACGCTTGTACCGTGGCGCTCTCGTCCCAGTCGTGGGTACGTCTGACTGAATGCGTGAGAGACATTAACGTAAAGGTGACCTATGTCTGAGTGACAGAAAGCTGTTGCTTTAACAGACTGATGAAGCAGCAATGTTATGTATCCCGTGTATGGAAAAAGGGCTTATGTGCGAGTGATTGACAATTTTTTTTAAATTACTGGGTTTTGGCGGTGCTAGCACCACTAACACCTGTAGAACCAATGACGCAATCCATCGAGCCCTGCAAAACATTCTATATCACATTAATGTCACTGGGTTTTTCTCTTGAAGAGTGCACTGGATTGCATTATACTGAACTATTTTCCCCCCATATGTCATTATTACATTAAGAATAACTAGTGTATTGTGGCAACTACAACATAAACACATGCTGCGTTTGGAGTAAGTAATGATCACGTACTGTGTTGAGTGATGTGTTGAAACCAAGAGTTAAAGAGTTGTTTACATACTTGCAGAATACTGTAGAGTTCCTGTGTGAACAACGCACTTACCTGCCTGAATGACAGGAAGCATTCTTGGGGGCAAAATGTACAATTATGTGTTTTCATTTAAAGGTGTGGGGAGAATTCCAGTACAGAAAAACAGACTATCATCTGTTCTGTGTTTACCTCCTGAGTGTAAAGTACTATGCACACGTGTGTTTGAGGACGGTAGTGATAGCATGCCCACCCTCTCAACGTGGAGCTCCACGTCCTGCTGAGAACAGCTCTCGATCTTCTGCTCCACTTTCCTCACCAACGCCTCCACGTCTACGATGCTTTCCTTGGTGATGCTGGTGGATGGGTGAGGAGTAAACAGACAGCACATAGAAAATTAACTCATCTGTGTGGGAGGCCAACTGTGTGAAAACAATATTTCCATTAAAGTGTGACAGATGCTTGCTGACATGCACTTTCATTTTTCAAGGTGAGATTGTGGGGAGTGGGGGAGGTGGAGTGGTGGTGGTGGTGGTGTTGGTTCCTTCTAATCCCCACACGTCCTAAAATAATAACTGCTGCAATGACATTTGCTAACTGGGGGGAGGGGGGAGTGTTGAGCTACCACAAGAAGTGTGTAGCTTTCACAACAAAAACCGCTACAACCCTTTCTCTGTTCCTCTGCTCAACACAAACATGTGTCTGCTAGATACATTTGGCTGTCTGGTATGGAAAGGTTCATCTTGCTGGAACCCCCCCTTTTTGCCTTTAGATGAAAAAACAAGTCTCTGTACCTTGTGAGATCAGTGTTTTTCCAAGAGTATAAAGCCCCTACTTGACCTGACTGTCTATTAAATGGGGTGTGCACTATTAAACCAGCACCTGCTAATGTCAAGTCACATACCAGGAAAAGAAAAGAAAAAAAAAAATCACAATAATTGAAGACTTTCAATTACTTAAACAATTTTCCTTAATACTTGTATATTAGTCACAAAGGCACTGTAATCAATAAACAGGAGGAGGTCAGTAAGAGAGGAGTGTTGAGCTTTTAGACAGCTTACATGTGGGAAGTACCCAGCTCTACTACAATAACATATTAAGAACAGGGTTAAGAATTCCCCCAAATACACTTAAGTGAAAGTAAACTACAGCGTGTGACTGGAACCTGTGCGCTTTCAAAACAAGGCACCATCTATATACACAGCCTCCTCACTGAATCCCAGAGCAGAGATGAGAGTAACAACATTGACCATCATGCAGTGAAAGGCCAGATGGGAAACCTGCTGAAATCCTTCACTCCTTCTCATTAAAAAGCAGTAATGAGAGAGACCAAAGACAGTTGTACTATTGTCCCTACAGCCCCACAACAGCTGCAGCTGTAGGTCTTTTCATCTAGTAGGAGATCTGTTAGATAAATAAATCCCCACATTAATAAGCTCCACTTAAACGCCCAGCGGCTGGTGACAACGCCTTCAGCACACAGGGAGCATACTGATGAACCCATGACCAAGATTTGACAGCATCGAATGGAGAGGAGAAATACTACGCACACTGAGTAAGTGCTCACTGGGTAACAAGAGAAAATAGTCGTGTGGTCTGGACAGGGTTTTCCAGTTTCAAAAGGTGAGAGATGCCTTCACCCATCCTCAAACTTTCAATCAGTTTATCAGTGAGGCATAAAAAAAACTAACAAACTTCAAGATCCTGATGAAACCAAGGCTGGTGAAGAACAAACTACAGGAGAGCAACCATATGGATTCCTGGTCTCGTGCAGAACACCTGCTATTGTTTGATGTCTTTCTTAAATTTTACACTGCACTGCCTTTTTTGTTGAAGCCTACAATATAAAAAAGAGCAGCTTGCTGCATCTTTTTTTATTGTTACTAAGCAACAACACTGTCCATAGCCCAACTGCTATTTGTATAAACATTTATCATTTATCTAACCACAAAAACATATATAATATTTGTCTCACTTTGAGTGAGCAGCAGTGAAATATTACTCACCTGACAGATTCCTCTAAATCTCCTAAACTATAACCAAATGAGCTACACACCAGTAGGGATAAGTGCACAACATGTTTGTTTTGTTTTTTATGTATGAATTGACCCTTTAAAGTACTTGCACCAAATCTAGAACGCAGCGGTTGGGCTGCTGCTCGCACTGACTAGTGAGGTCTCACAGGACTCATTTCATCCAAATCAGCTGTTCTTATAGAAACCCTGACTGAACCAGGTAATTCAAGACCAAATTAAACCTGCCAACATCACAGTGCACACCCATCACACATGATTACTGTTATTCCAGTGTTAGAGTCCAAATCAGCCACAGTTCTCTTTTGCCTTAGGCTCTGCGCTCCTCAGGTAGCTGAGGCGGGTAAAGGCTGCAGAGTCTGAGGATCACTTAATTAAATTGTGAGGATGAGCAGAGGACGTCTTGGACATACAATATGTGAATGGAGACTTCTGAGCAATGTCATCCCTACCCTCTGCATGATTATGAGAGGATTTACTTGTAATCCAGGGTATTACTCAGCTTGTCAATTATAACACCACAGTGTGTGAAACGAGACTGGGGCCAGAAAGCCAAAGGAACCGACAGTGACACCTGTTCTGAAAGATTTAAATATAAAAACACGAAACATATAGAGCCTGGCAACACTCAAACACTCTCAGTAAAAGGTCACGCTGCACTATGACTTTGCTATTGTTGAGTTTAGATGCAACACCTGAGTTTAGATGCAACACCATGTCGTCTTGGAAACCATGTCATCACTTTCACTTGCTCTGTTGTCAGGTGGTAATGTGTGGCCCAACAGTCTAACGGCCTGACCACAACATTGCAGAAGCCAACAGAGGAACTACTGCACATGAAAAAAAAACAATCCTCTGTGACATAGTTAACATTTCTACTCTTCTGTATTTAACAAGGTGCAACTTGCTGGTCCTTTCTTGCCTGTGTTCAGTGTCATTTTTTGAGGTAGCAAAGCACTGAAAGATGCCAGAAACTGAAGCTGGATCTCAGGGACAGCTGGGAACAGGTCAGCTGAGTGGCTGAGAGGAACTATGGTGTAGTCAGGGAATTCTGACTCTTCTAAGAAAGCAGGGGTCAGAACCTCAAGCAGTAGTGACTCTGCCCTCATTAGAAAAACGCATGTGTTTGGATTCAGCTTCCTGTAAACCTCAACATACTGCAACAACCCGCCAAGGGGCTCCAAGGGTCTCATTTATGAAACATGAGTCCAATGAATATGTGTAAAATGGTAATTTATGCACATTTAGGTATTCACCAAACATTTAGTAGCACTGACTTGTTTACATATGACTCAGGCAGGTGTGTGCATAATCATTCATTATTCAGTTTTTTCATTAAGTGTTTCAGTAAATCTAGCTGTACTGAATGGATGCCTGTATTTACTCAAAGCATTACATGGAATAAAGAGAAGTTTACTTTGCTGTTTATTGTAGATGCTATCTAACAGAATACAGTTTTCAGCTTCTATAGGTCAGAATGCTCTGCAGCTGCTACTTGGCCCTAAATGATCTGTGGAAGCGAGAATTTAGGAAGAGACACTCCAGTGGTTTCAGTGCTGGGTATGATGGCAGTGTCTGGAACAATGATGGAGCCTATATGCCCAACAGAGGTTGTGTTGCTCAATTATTTTCCATCATTAACAGATTTTTTTAACATAAAAATCTGAACGGCGTCTGTCATTTTGAAAAGTGACAGTGATCTACATTAACTTAAGTTAGACTACTAAAAAGCCCAATAGTTGGTATGGTGAGGTGAAAAAAGAGGAACTGAAACTGTAGATGAAGGACAAGTGAGACTGTTCAACACATCTCTCTGTACAGGAGCTGACAACACTCTGAAGAGCCATGGACTAAGCGTGTCTGCGACCACTGTGGGTCACAGAGGGGTGCAGAAGGAGCTCATGTAGCAGATTCCTGCCTGTGCAGTGAGTGCTTCAGGATTGGGAAATCTCACATTGAGAGCAACTCCTAATCACTTCCTGAGAGAAATGTTCCTGACTTCAAAATGTTGACTGAAGTGGAGCTGGTAAGTCCAGTCTATAGTGAAGCAGCAAAGCATGGATTCAGCTTTCAGATCTAAATTATAACGGTCATGAGAAGTCATCTGTCCGAAGATGCAAAACCTGGTGACAATGGCCTCTGCAGCAGGTCAGCTAAGTCAAATTCAGTTAGCCTAAATTCTTGTAAATGGGTTGTTCATATTTTAATGGTAATTGTCTAATTTTGTAAAATTACATATTTGCTTGTTTACGCACGTTTTTAGTTGCTTCCACTGTCACTGTGGAAAAAACATCTTCTGCTTCTGTTGACATAAAAGGTGGCCACACAATATCTTGTTCCAAACATAAATACTAAAAAAAAAAAACAAAAAAAACTTTTAATGAAAATTAAATCTGTATTATCTCCTCTCCTCATGCATCTACATGCCGTCATTACACATCACTAACTGTGTGTTTTCCTCCCATAGTGTGTCCTCTCTCTCTTGGCTGCACCAACCTGCCTAGTGTTTGATTGTTGTGTTTTATTGCTTTTCTTTTCTTTTCTCTCTCCTCTATCCATTCAACCCAAGGCAGAAGGCCGTCCACCAGTAGCCAAGGTCTGTCGGAGGTTTCTTTCCTTAAAGGGAGTTTTTCCTCCTCGCTGTCACCAAGTGCTCAAGGGGGATTTGCTGGGTTTTTCTTATTTAATAATAATAATAGTAAGGTCTAGACCTTACTTTGCAAAGTGTCCTGACACGACATTTGTTGTGATTTAGCGCTATACAAATAAAACTGAACTGAATTGAAAAAGATTAAAACTAAGCTGAAAGGTAATAATAAACTATGATGGAATCTTATTGACCCTGTCCATCAAAATGATGGAAATGAGAAAGTCTAACACAACCTCTGATCCCTAGTAATGCTTGACATCACCTTCTTAGTCAGCAATGCACTTGTTGGATAAGGGTTATAATTAAACTGACATTGTTTCAACTCTTTTACCTTTCTCTGGGAGGATGGCAGCAGACATTTATTCTGTCTTCAGTTTTCATGGCAGCTTTCTGTGAGGTGGTAAGACTATGACAGCTGCTACTTACCAGGAGGCTTGTTTCAAACTGCACAAGTACTGCTGCAATCTCTGCACCGCTTAAGTTCTTTACTATCCTGTGTCCAAACTGCCACTTTGGTCTGGCAGATTACAGTTGTAGGTGTTGCCTTTTGCCTAATTTAGCAATATCTGAAGAGGTGGCTTTAAAGTAACTCATGATGATCTTCCCCACTTACAAATATATTGAATCATACAACAATGGGAGAACTGGAAAACAGTAATCATGTTAATTACTAAAACACCTAAATTACATGAATTACATCATTAATGTCTTTATGTGGATTTAAAGTCCAAATTTAGAGTTATTTCACAAAAAAGCCCCCCTGACATCAATGTCAGCCTAAAGCAACATCATCCTCGGCTCACCCCTCTAGTAGGCCCTTTTAATAAAGTACATATCTGCTGACAGTTGTGTTCATTCATAAGACTATCAGTAAGAAAGATAGGCTGTAATGTGACTGCTAACATGACTAATGATGCTTGGCTCTCAAGTATGTGTTCTCCCTCTGAACCGTGTGGTATCTGCCGTCTCGACAGGAACTGCTCCATTAAAACGCTGCTGTATCCCACCATGTTAAAAGCTAGCTTTTGTTGTCAAGTGAAAAAATGATTGATTTCCCCACCCACCACCTCACTCAGAATGTGTGAAAATGGATCGGCGGACAATTAGGGCCTGGGATTTTCCCACCATTGTTTTCCTCCTCTCTGACAGGAACAGCAGTGTCAGTACTCACTTTGCAGCAAACTTGACCATCTGCTTGCTTGCACGATCTCCCACTGCAACTAGTGCCTGCACGGTGAACTGCTGATGACGCAGGACCAAGAAGCATTGCTTCCCTGAAAACAAAACAACAACAACAGATAGTGCCGAGCTGTTAGGACCTCTTTCAAGCAAGCTTAACAGCCTTGTCACAATAAAAGCTTGGCCTCTGCAGCAGTGTATGTCTGTTCACCAAAAGGGCTATGTGCTACTTGGGATGAAAAAGGTATCCCCCAGCTGAAAGGATCCTTCTTGTCATCTACAGGTAAAGTGTCAATCATTTGTGAACAGAGTCTTCTCTTTGAAGAGCACTGTGTGGAGAAAGGGTGATTGCTACCTTCCTAACAAAGACACAAGCTGTGTTTTCATTCCTTGTGGGGACTTTACGTTGACTTACATTCATTTCCTGTAGACTTATCCTAACCTTAATCATAACCACTACTTGCCTAACCATGACTCTAACACTTAATCTAACCACATCCTAACCCTAAACCATGTTGCCACCCTAAAATTCAGCGATTTCTTTGTGGGGACTAGCTTCTGGTCCCCACAAGGATGGCCGAGTCCCCTCAGTGTTGGTGTGTTAACAGGCTTTGGTGCTCATGATGTAAGCAATACAAAGACACACACACCTGGGAACAGAGTAAATACGTTAGCCAACAAAAACTCAGGTCAGTAGACAGTCAGACCACCCAGATACTTTGATGTCTGTTGCCTGTGAGAAAGGGGAGGGTGGTGGGGACAACAGCAATGTCAAAATCCCACCGACAGATACAGCTGACACCAGACCAAATCAGGATGTTATTCTGCTCGCACTGACGTCCCTACAGTGAGCAGAGAGAATTAGGACATGAGTGGAGGGGAAGTGACTCTTCACACTGGAAGTTATCTTTAGAGGAAATGGTTAAAATATCATCTTTGAGATATCCACTTATTTATGAGCATACATTTAACAAAGCAGAAAAAGTGCTTCATGTTTCATGCAGAGATGTAATAACCTGAAAAAGCTCAGGGTTCATTGTATTTAAATTGAGGAGCTACATCGCTGCCAGTAGCTGGAAGCTGGCCTAGCAAATGGAGCTTATCTGATTTTCCAGTTGGCAGTGACATGCTAGTCTGACAATGATGTCAAAAACACCCCCAGGTTGTCAAACTGCTTAATCTGTTAGGAAGTAGAGGGAAAAAACTGTGCAAGTGCTTGCACCACCTCAGAAACGAATATATAGTAGAAAAATTCTCATTTTATATCAAGATATTATTTCAGCTATAACAGCTGCCTGTTCTGACCTTCAGTGTTGAACGCCCTAAAGACAGTAACGTCATTTCTGTAGGTCATGGGAATCCTAACACCACCAAGTCAAAGGTGACTGGTATTTCTGTGAGTGTGTGAGTGATGTGGAGCACTGGCCCTAGGGAAGAAGTGTTAGACATTTCAGTACACACAGGATTAGCACAGAGGTCATCTAATCTTGGCTGTTTGGGGTTTTCACACATGAAAAAGGTGCTCGAAGCTTAAAAAAGGGGTGAACAAAGACAGAGGGGGATGAGCTCACCTTTGGCTCTGCTGGTGTGGACTCGGGCACGCAGCCAGATCAGCTGGTCAGCTTTCTCAGGAGTAAGATCTTGGATCTGTACCAATGCCCTGTCTGGCTCACACACACACAGACACACACATTTTATTACTTCAAAGAAGTTTTCTGCCTCTATATAAAGACTCTCACACCCCTCCTTCTCCTCCCTACACACTCCCAAAAGCACAAAGAAATGTGAAAAAGCATGCATGTGCATGTAGACGTACACATAATAAACTGCTCAAATTACAGACATGCCTAATAAATAAGAAACACTAGGAGGCTTGCTGAAAGCCGTCTAACTCGCCCATTCACTGTGGTCTTTATGACAAATTGACTCTAGTTTCACCTGTGTCACTCAGAGACATGCTTTCACCTTATTATCAGTGAGAAGAGGAGGCAGACACTGAGGCAACATCAGAGAAAACAGACGCCCATTTGGCTGAGAACTCTGTGTAAACCCACATGAAAGCCCTCACCTTCTAACGACCAACCCCCCCATCATCCCCATGCCTGAGCTTGGCATGCAGGTAAGGGAGGCCCCCCACTTTTGTTTGCAGCCACTGGAGCTGAACAAGCATTCAGACAGACAGACGACCTCGATGGGTCCGCCTGCTGCCTCGTTCATCCATGAGTTATCACACACTATTAGTTACTGCAATTATCACTGACGTCGCTTAAGTCGGGATGAGAGAAGGGGCCAAAAGAATTTTTCATGATGTTTATCAGCTGTAATCGTGTTCGATCAGTAACGTTTGTCAGACAGACAAACGTAAATATGAGAAGATCTGGATCAGGATAACATCTTGTATCCAAACATAAAACTTGAAAGTTCCAGCACGTTCTCTGTGTCATTATGTTCATGTCTGCACCTCTAAAGTGAAAGGTGAAATATTGGGTTTAACTTCTTGTACCAAGGTATCCATGTCCAACATACAGTAGGGCTGACTCATCTGTGACTTTTATATCAATGACTAGCAACGATGACTAGCAACGATGACTAGCAATGATGACTAGCAATGTTCTTATGTCTTTCACACATGCAGAACGCAGGATTCACGTCAGTCACCAGATCATTATCTGGAACCCATCATGTCTCAATCTTATTCACAACATAAAACCAGTTTCACACACAAAAACACATTGCTCATCTCACTTTTAAATATACTACCATCTCTAAAATAACCAAAGCAAGTTGTAAATCATCAAGCTTTAAGACAATTTTTTGGGGCCGGATTTCTTCTTTCTTTACTTCTGGTAAGTGGTAGGTGACTGACAGAAAACTGAGTGTACTGTAGCACATAGATACAGGAAAACCGTAATACTAAGCTCTGTTACACTGAAATAATAATAAAACAAGACCTATTCCAACCAAAGGAAGTCTTTGTGTGTACTACGTATACTGTAATTTCTTCTATGAATCTCTCATCACATCTTGTGGGTGTGCATGAATACAAATCAAATCAAATTTATTTATATAGCACTTTAAAAACAACATCCAGTTAACCAAAGTACTTACATAGTCAGAATAAAATCACGATAAATAACTAAAATAAAATAGATTCAGTGCAAAAATAAAACAATAACTCAGACACACAGATGACACACATTCAATAAATTAGATTAAAAGGAATGCACCAGGCCCAACTGTGTATTAAAAGCCAAGGCAAATAAATATGTTTTAAGCGATGATTTAAAAGTTGTCAGGTCAGTAGCTGACCTAACATTAAAAGGTAGGCTATTCCACAATTTAGGGGCTGCAACAGTAAAAGCACGATCACCCCAGCATTTATATCTGGCCATAGGAACCTCTAAAAGAAAATGGCTTGAAGACCTGAGGGAACTTGTAGGTTTGTGCCAATGCACTAATTCAGTGAGGTAAGAACACACTCTCCTGAAATGCATCTCATTCTTTCACTTTGTTGATGTTGTGCAGAGAAATATTTTGAAAAATAGCAGCAACATGTACGACACAGTGCATGGACCACAGTGACATGCATTAAAAAAACCTACAGCTACAGAGACTGATCAGTTCAATGTGATAGAGACAGGAATAGGCCAAAATGTAATTCTACTAAATGTAACTGTATTAATCTACTCTTTAAACACTGCGTATAACAGAGACGTGAGTGTATACAGAGTCATCAAACTGACAGTCAAATCAGGGTAAAGCAATGGTTTTATCCATCTAAAATTTATTCCACTGCAAATATTTAAAAGCAAAAAACAGCAAATTAATCTTCATGTTTCTTTTTTTCTTGTTTCAGCCAAGAGTGGTTTCTGTTAGGTTGGCTGTGAAGGAAGCAGCTTTTATACTAACCCAGTTTTTGTTGGGACTGGACCATAGCTGCCACACCATATTGGTCCTTGGCAAAGTCCTAAAAAAATAAAAGCACACATCTTAGCAGTTGTCATTTAGTTAAACAGCAAATTAACACTTTACACTGGTTGTAGCGTATGCACATTGACTCTTTTTTCTCCCTCTATTATTCTCAAGGGCAACACTCCCACTTTGATTTTACAAGCATCAGTCTGTCTACTTCATCTGAGATAACAGACAGACAAAATAGATTGTCATAAGCCTCATTATCTAAGGCAGAAAATTAGCAAACAGAAATCAATAACAGTGTGTTCAGAGTGCAAGTATTTGCATACAAACTGTTGTAAAAGTGTGAAAACACAGGCAGAATCTCTGTCAGACAGACAGACAGGGAACAGGTAAGAGGGGACCAGTAGTCTGATCTGTAGGGGCCACTTACATCTTCCTCCGTGCTTGGTTGTTCGGCAGCCTGAAACACAAAGGGGCGACAGTGGGTTTAAATGGCATGGCCAAGACCCAGGAAATAAAAAGAGGATTATCTATTAAATTCAACCATAAAATGTTCAAAAAACATTTTGCTTCAACTGGAGCAATTTAAAATGTTTTTCTGCTAGTCATGCAAATTGTGTTTTCATCGTGTGCTATCAGGGATTTGAATAAAATTAATGAATCATAGTTCAGTCCTAAAGCCAAGCTTTCGATCCCTGAAATGCACAGCTCTTCTATACATTGCTCCAACACATCATAGACAATGAGTAATGGCAGCAGGAGATATTGCTTTATAATAGAAACAGCCTAAGTGGACAGATATTCTTTATCTCTGCACCAACTTTGAGGCAAATGACTCCCAGAGCAGGATGAGATCGACTCTTGGCAAAGTTACAGTTCCATTTTCTATGCAAATTGATATTGGTGTATGGAAATGGCTGACGGCGGTGGAGTAAATTGAACTGCCCATCCTTGATATAATAATCCAGTCACATGATGGATGATATTGCAGCTTGTGATCAACTGAATATAGACCTGCTACAGCCATGAAGCAACCAGCCCACACCGGTGCAACCAAAGTGACAAGTGTCAGCAGAAAAAAAATTCATAACAGAAAATTTCACAGCCAACACTCAATCAGCAAACATCCAATTCAGCTTTCTGGTCTTGTCCAAGACAATGCTTGTTATGCCACACTAAGCTGGCATTCAGACTGAGCCGGTAAAAATGCATCTACCTGCTGCGTTTTAACGCAAGATGCTGCATTGGTCAGGGGAGTGGGAGGTTGCAGGGGGGGAGTGCTGTGATCATGTACAATATGGCCACATTGTGACGAGTCGACGCGAATGGCTTCATTGATGTTTCCAGCCCAGGAGTTCCCATTGTGTTTTTGTTAGCCATGCTGCTAACGTAGCCTGTTCTACCTGAGCACTAATTCTGCCATCAACGTGTCTAACACAAATGGATGGTGTGTCGTTATGGTGTGAACTGTGGCCCAAATTCAACAGTGAATAGCAGTGAATGCTCATCCTAACAAGGCAAACAAGAGTCTTCTTCCCATGGGCGTCCCCAACCCTGTGTCCTAGTCTTGTTTGGGTTTGTGAGTGTCTCTGAGTGTAGCCCTGAGGAACATAATGTAAAACTACAGTATGTCTGAATGGCAGAAAACCACTGCTTTTACAGACTGTTGAAGCAGCAATGTTATGTATGTCTGATGTACTACATGTCTGGAAAGGGCTATACTGTAGAAACACACGCTGCAGCATGATCTCAGCTGAGAACACAGACATAAACATTCAACAGTGAGGACTGAAGGCTGATTTTTATACAATCTGTCACATCGGGGCATCCATAGCTCACTTCATATCTTTAGGAAATAGGATCAGAGGGGCAAAGAGCAGTACGGAGCAGAGTTTATGATCTGACATACTTGGTCATATATTTTCTGGAGGGCAAGAACTTTGTAGGAAGCATGACCTTTAGTGTGTAAAAAGGCTGCATTTGAGCTATGTCATGTACCCCATATAGGAAAAAAAATAGCACTTTGTTTGGGTGAAGATAAACAAAGTTAAAATAGCAGGAATACTTAGACAATGGATACTCCCCCCAACGCCTAAACTACCCTCTTGGACCCACAATGCCTAGCACACCTACACGTCACAGCCATACCAGATGGAAGAGGGGGCAACGGATGTATAACAACAAACAAAAATTAAAAAAAAAAAAAAAAAAAAAAAAAAAAAAAAAAAAAAAAACACTGACCAGCTTGGCCTGTTTCTCAGCCTTTTTTGCAGCTTTCTCCGCTTCCTTCTGCTGTTTCTTCAGGGCTTTTTTTGACTGAGCCTGCTGCTCCTCCTCTGTTGCACTGAAGCAGGAAGAAACACACAACATAAACATCCTAGTCAACTTCCACCTCCAATTTCTCCTAGATCCCATGAGGAAGTTGTTGACTGCCTGGGAAAATTAATTCTGAACCATCACCACCTCCAGCTTTTAAGTCTGCGCTACATTTTAACTCATTGTTTTTCACACGTCAAAACAGCTGTAGCCTGTGTGAGTGGAGGTAAGTGAGTGTGGAGAGCAGCTAAAAGCAAAGAAAATAAGATTAGCTAGATAAACACTGGGGCTTTAAGAAGACAGCAGAAGAACAAAGACTATCTGATAACATTTAGTCTTATCTGAAAGTAAAATTACACTGCTAAATGGTACTACAACACTACACAGCACAGCACAATACAGTGTCAGACCCAATAAGCATATGCTATTTGCCTATAAACTACATTTTAGTAAAAGCAATCGTTCAGTACACAAACTAAGTAAGCACACTCTTATCTAGATGTAGCAACACAACATACAGAACAGCAGAAATGAACAAGTAAAAGCTAATTAGATGTAATTAAGTTAAAACTAATACAGTTAAAAACTGAGATAACTGATGAAAAAAACAGTGAAACAGCATCAAATTAGTTTTAATAAAAATATTTAAGAATTAAAATAAATAAAAGTTCAAGTGATTTACACTGGCCAACATCTGTCATAAGGATTAATGAGGAAGTGATGAGACTACAGATAGTCTGAACTTTGAACTCCTTCAAATTAGACATTCCCCATTTTATAAAAGCCTGTTAAAATTGCAGGTGAATGAACAAGTGCTGTTTGGCTTTCCAAATGTCCAGGTGGCTCGACCTGAAGAAAGCTTATGAGCGATATGGGAGCTGCTCCTATTTAGCCACAGGAAATAACAAGGACCAAAGACCTACTATGAATAGCAATGAAGTCTAAACAAGGGAGAAAAAACAAAGAAAACAAAAGCGACAGATGATAATTTTCAAAGGAGGAAATTTAATATTAACACCACTGTTCCAACAACCTGCACCAACTGCTCCTTTTATGATTTCCCAGGAGGATTATGTTCAATTTAAAAAAAAAAGATACATACTAAGATCCCTATATTTCTTGTTGAGTTGTTGAGGTATCTGCATCTATGGAACAAACTCTAAGTAGTGCATTGCTATCTTGTCTCAAAGTCCTGTTCTGAATAGGAGGTGGGACCATGCACATGCTAGCCATACCATAATAGCTTAGGCAACGTTCAACTCGCCTAAACACTTGCTTAGCATCTTGTTATGACGTGAAGCCATTCTCATTATAACAAGATACTTTTCTCATTTTTTTTTCCCCCACACAGTGACCAGCGTTGCACCTAGGAGGTGTGTTCCAACCAGTCCTTGAGAATCACTGATCATACACTTAAATCCATGCACAATAATTAGCCCACAAAATAACACATGAATGCAGCTCATGAGCAAATACATATCCCGATTATGTTTCAGGCATTACTGACAACAGGTGAAGACAGTGCGGCTGCTGTTACTCATACCAAGCCATGCAGGGCTCACGTTAGGCAGTAGAAACTATATGATAGACTTGAGGGGTGTGGGATGTCATATTAGATTGGGCCATACATCTGAAACTACATATGTTGATCATGCAATGAACGCCATACACAGCGGCCTAATAGTTGAGCAAAGATACGCACAACGCCCTCGCCCTGTCTGGTGTGGGTTAAATATAGCTTAGAGATTAGCATTAATCGCAGTTTCTTGCTTCACTCATTTTCAAACCAGTGTCAAGTTTAAGGAGCTCATTATATGATTACATTTTTAGTTATATTGTTTCAGTCTGCTTTTAATCTTTGCCGGTTGTCATGTTCCATCGGTGCTTTGAACTTTTCCATTTTGTGACATTAAACTTCTAGTAGGTCTACCAGTGTGCGAAAGCCAGAGGGTTAAATAACAGTTTGAGGGGTCAGGGTGGGTCAAAACATTTTGTAACTTAAATTTTAACAACATTTTACTTATTGAGCCAAGAACCTGGAATCTTTTCATCTTTACTGAACTCTCTGGGGTATCTGTTGTCATATGGATAAAAAGTCTACACATGTACATGCTGTCAAAAATCTGAGTACTCATATATGAAAATATGTAAATGTCACCCCAGTTATGAACCTGCACTCCATGCTGTATATGTCTGAAGTACAGTACATCAATGTTGTACAAACTAGATGGATCAGTTTCACTGGATCACTGATCTTTTTTGCCCTCTGGTAAAATGAGATCATTGTCTGCAGCAGTTTTCTACAAAGCACCTACAGTTCACTGTCAAAGCAGTACACAAACAACCTTTGTGCCTCTCTATTCTTTATGCAGCTAACATCATATCTCATATTGCTGTAAAGTTAAATGTAATCAGCTTATCCCATCTGCCACCAGTTTCTTAACACAAGTAATCCATGCCAAGGTGACCTATGTTCAACAGCAGTATCACAACCCAAGTCTCTCACAGCGCAGTTGTTACACCTCCACATCCACCACATTATTATATCATAAAATGACAATAACTGGATAGGAGTAGATCAACATAAAATGTTATCAGCCCTCATGAGTTTTAATAATCCAAAGTACAATGAGTCACATTAGTTATATTAGATACACCCTTTGATATACTGTACTTCATTTCAAACTGTACAATTATGGTAAAACACAAAAGTTAACGTTAGCCCACTATCAAGCTTGACACCAAATACATTCAAGACTTGCGACAGTTCTTGGTGCAACCCGTACATTAAACAAGGCCATGAACTTTTGATTTTGGTTTGGTTTCATTTGAGATTTGTTTTAGGCTTTATGACAATAAATCACTTGGTGTTCAAACAAATCCTGCCTAGTATAAGTTTACTTTATCTAAATAAAATATATAATAAATAATACTGGAACATTATTTGAACTCTTCTTGTGTTGAATTCAACTTCACTGATATTTTAAGCATTTTGTTCAGAAGGGTAAAACTTCTTTACTTTAACTGTCAGATGATGCAATCTGCTGCATGTCATAGCAATGCTAGCAAGCTGCGACTGATGCTAACGCTATCATGAGGTATTTACAGCGTTCTGTGCTGGTGATGCTGTAAGACGTGAGCCGTGGCACAATTCTCACACAATTCTTACCCATGGACTTCCTCTTTAGTCATGCTGAGTTATATTCTTGGAGAATTAAAGGAAAATGTTTCACGACTCACAGCCAGACACCCCACATCAACTACTCTGACCACAGAGAAGAAAGGAAGGACCTATTTTGACGGAGCGCCGAATACCAGGTGCTTTGAGTTCCGGCTAGAAACGAATGGCTGAATTATAGTTCCCACTGGCTTACTCACAGGGAAGACAAAATAATATAAACACGTAATGGAAATAAGTTTTATCTCAGTAGTAACTTAATCAATATTATAAACACTTCGACCATACGGGCTCATTTTATGGCAATTACCAGCATTTGCTATTAAAACTAAAAAATATAATGGAAAGTTGGCTGTGTTGATGAGTACAATAAATAACATGAAACAATGAACATAGCCTCTAGAAAGGTGAGTACAATAAATAACATGAAACAATGAACATAGCCTCTAGAAAGGCCAAATCATGTATCCAGACTGTATGCAAATTGGATAAAACGTTTTTAAAAAATATTATAATAGATGATAACAATAAATAGTAAATCATGCTGACTAGCAGGGAAGTGGCCAATTTTGCATAGCCTAATACAGTATTTCTTGATATTTCTGTAACTTTAATAACAAAATACAGAAGCACATGTCAAACAATATCAGCAGGCAATCTGTAGTCTGTTATCTGAAGTGATGATCTCTAAATGCTGATAAACCTCAAAATATGCTACATGTATGACACTATTACTGGTTGAATACAAGAAAAATTAATATAACATTCTGAAATACTGCAACAAAATAAAGCAACATAGCACACCTTCAATAAAATGCACATAAACACATGAAAACATGTTAATAACATTACTAACAAGTGACCATCATATGTGCCCTTTTTATTGTCTCCACACAAACAATAAAAGTGAAACTCTCCATGAAATTACTTTCACGCCTTTGGTCAAGTGCACTAAATGCATCCATGTATGGCGTGACCTTTGCAGGAATGGCAATGCACAGTGAGTGATGGTGGTTTGAGTACAGTGGGGGTGGCATCAAAGCTTTTCTCAGGCTGTTGGCTACAGGATCCCCTGATGCAGGAAACGGCCTTCCTGCTGCTCACTTTCCAACCAAAACAATGCACCCATTAGTGGTGCAGGTCACTGCCCAAAAGGAACCTGTGGTATTTGTGTTCTTTTCATCCTTAGTTTACAAAAGCAGTTTAAAATAATCTCTGCACTTGCTGCTGCCTATACTGTCACTCTAAATTTTAATACATGTCAGCAGCAAAATCTATATAAGGTCCTCTACAGTTTACACAGTTGCCTCAAATTGCAGTTTGAAACTTGTGTAATCATAGTGAATCACCAGCCAAAACTATTTCCTGTCCAGTTAAACAGCTTTGGCCTTTTGGCCCAGTAAAGCAAACAAGAAATTCTTCACTACAGCAACATACACACGTGAATTTGTTTAAAATAATAGAATAGTTGTCAGAATTTTTGCAACATTGTACAGAAAGATTTTGTTGATGATTTGCTAGAGATGACTACAGGAACATGACATTATTATCATAGAATGACTTAATATATCTGCAATAAACACATCCAATATTAGAGGTTTTGCTGTTTAGCAGTATTTTTTCTTATCACACAGAGAGAACAAAAGCTTTAATTATGGATGAAAGAGGACCTCAGTGCATCCGAGGATGAATTCCCAAGGGGCCATTAGTGCTAAAAACTGTGCACTCAAGGGAACACTTTGGACAGTAATCAGAAGAGAGTCATCCATGCAGGCTATGTTTTTTATGTTTATCATGATGATGATAATGATAGAAAGTATAGCTCTTAATGCACATTCAGTCATGTAATCAGTCAAATCCATGAAACAAATGACATGGAAATGTGCTGGACTCCAAAACCCAAACCTGATCTCCCTCTGCAGGAACTCTTAAGTGTCTCTATGTGTATTTGTGAGTCATATTCTAGACTATTGCATTTACCTCTGTCCTTCATGGCCAATCATAAAACTGGGTCAGTTTTATTCCCATGCAGTGTCTATATACCTACAATGTGCACATCAAATATGGACTGTATTTGATGTGCACATCATCATCATCACACATCACATATTTGACGCAGAGGCGCCAATTTGTGAAGTTGGGTGAACATCAGTCGAGTGAACTGGACATTGTATGTGGGGTGCCTCAAGGTTCAGTCTTGGGACCAAAATTATTCATATTATACATTAACGACATGTGTAAGGTTTCGGCTTTTGTGAAAATGGTCTTATTTGCTGATGACACTACGATATGGGCATCAGGGGATAACCCACAGCAACTATCGGGACGGGTTTCACAGGAACTTGAGAAGATAAAGAAATGGTGTGATAGTAATATGCTGTCCATGAATATGGATAAAACTAAATTTATAGTATTTGGGAATCGCAGACTAGATAACGAACTGCAAGTGAAAATAGGGGGAGCCAGTATAGAACGAGTATATGAAATTAAATTTCTAGGTGTTATAGTGGATGATAAATTCACCTGGAAATCTCATATCAGATATATTCAGCATAAAATAGCAAAAAACATATCGATATTGGCAAGGGTTAGATATATTTTGGACATTAAAGCACTACGTATTTTGTATTCTTCATTGATTTTGCCATACTTAGAGTATGGCGTTGAGAACTGGGGAAATACATACACAAGCTCACTTCAACCATTGTATATATTACAAAAAAGAGCGATAAGAATTGTACATAAGCTGGGATACAGGGATCACACAAATGTAGTTTTCATACAGTATAAATTGCTAAAATTCTTTGATTTAGTGGAATAGGGGTAAAACTATGGAATAATTTAAATATGGACATAAAAAAACAGTAAGAAAATTGATGAGTTTAAACACAGATATAAAGGTATGTGTCAATCAAGATATGGGCAAGAACAGGCTTAATGATTAATCAGACGGGAATGTGGATGTAGAATATGTATCCATGTAGTAATACTGCTTGCAAACCAATGATGGTAAGATGATGTTAGGGGGTAGGACTACATAAGTCTAACTTCTTCCTACTACGTTCAAGCATGTACTAGGTGTAAGCAATTTGAAATGATTTTTTTTGTGGATATGTCTGGAATTATGTGTGATTACATACTGACTGTTGTTACATGTTTGAAAGAATCAATAAATCAAATCAAATCAAATGTTTGGCGGTTGATGTGATCCCAGTGTGACAACAAGGCTTCCTGGTGAGACATGAAGAAGCATACAAAAAGGATCCACCTAAGCACAGTGATGTGTTAATCACAGAGCTCTCAGGCTGACACAGCAATACTCCTATGCTAATTAAGAATCATTTGGGAACATTTCCAATTGAAAAAGCACCTCTTGTTTTATTCTGCTTCTCTGTGAGAGACCAGATCCCCCCATAAGCTGTTAACCTTGGGGCTCGATGAGGGCACTTGACATCTTTTCACATGTAAAAAAATGAAAATGGAGACTTGAATGGATGCAGGCAGTGCACTGCACAGTGACCATTTGATGACTTCATTCTCCTTGACATCTATTGTTGCCAGCTTTTTCTGGCCTCCAATGTGAACTTAAATCTCTAGTATGTAATGCAGATAACCCTAACCCTAACAATACAAACAGAAATTTATGTCTATGTGTGCTTGAAACGTCTTATTTTGGCACAATATAATTCATGCTGATTTATTGCCAATGATATATGCCTTGGCTGTTCAACAAAGACTATGTCTGTCTATTTGCATCTTTAGAATATAAAACCTGTGTTCTGAATAGTATTAATTTTGTTTTGTGAGCCCAGGAATGGTTAGTTGACCCACTGACCCTTTCTGTGAAGCGAATGATGATGAAACTTGTTTACAAGCCAAACATAATGGTAGCAGTATATCTTGCAAACTCAAAGAAAAGACAGGACAAAAGAGAGAACAAGTAAAGGAGAACTTAACATGCTATTTTCTTTGTTAAGAAGCCATATGGGTGCTAATTATAACTGAAGATTTTAGCTTTTGTGCCACGGCTGCTTAAGATGTAAAAGTGCACAGATGTCCTTGCAATTACAGGCTGTCTTTTTAGCCAGATCAGGTGGAAACATTTGTGTTAGGAGGCCCCCTCAGCCCCACCCCATGACCTCAACTTCCAGCATACACGCTTCGACCCCCAGCCCCTGAGGGGAAAATGCACACCACACTGAGAGACACTAAAACTTTTTATTTTTCAATAAAAAAACACAATTGAAATTTTAAAACATAGTAAAAAAAGCAGCATGCATTTTCTTTCATTTACAAAACTTCCAGTTTGAATGACAGCAATAAATAACAGCTTTCAGATAATCACACAACTTAAGTGCGAACACACAGATGCTACAAACTATGTACAGGTTTCAAAAAGCAGGTAGCATCTTTGACAACATAAAAGGGCATTGCACGCCCGAGCTTTGACACAGCAGCATATTGTAAAGGTGAAAACAGGAAAAACTGACCTTGATTGGAAAGCTGAATAAATGGAAATGAGGATGAGGAAGATCAAACTTGCACAAATTGCAATAAAACCCCTCACAAGATGCAACTGCAGTAAACAAGGCAAACAAATAAAAACTTTTAAAAACTTCTTTTTTTTTTTTTACATCTGTACAAAATGTAGTAAGGTCTTTAAAGCTTAGTTTGTTTATCTCCTGAGAGCATCAAGTCACAAACTGGAGTTGTTTGTTAGCTTGACAAAACACTTGAAGACTCAGATTCAGTTGATACAGATGAAATTGGCCCTCGCTTTTTTGTCATGAGAGTCACTTTCTGACTTGATCTACTGCTGACTGTCAGTGCACTCCTGGCTGTTTTCTTAAACTTAACTCCCAGGAAAGCATAGAGGATGGGGTTTAGGCAGCAGTGAAAATAGGCCAGCACCTCAGTGACAGAGATCCACTTTTCCACAGCTTGTTGAAGTTCACAAGATCCTGGGACCACTTTCAGTATCATGAGATTGTCCAAGAAGATACCAACACAGTAGGGCAGCCAGCAAGAGAAGAAACATAGGATGAGGATGACCGTGGTCTTCAGGGCTTTCTTCTTCTGCATCTGGCCCTTGGTGGCTCGTGACAGTCTGGCAATAATGATGCAGTAGCAGATGAGGATGACCAGGCCAGGCAAAATGAAGCCTACCAGGATGTGCTGGAAGCGGAAAGCGACTGTCCATATGTGACTGTTCTCCTGTGGGTACATGCGCTGGCAGATGGTCCTGAAGTCTGTGGTCTCCATACTTTTGTTTGCGAAGGGAAAGTTTGAGGACCCTTCGTTTTCCACCCTGGCAAACACCATGTCAGGTATAGTCAGCAGGGCTGCAGGCAGCCACACACCCACATAGATCACTCTGTTTGCAAGCAGCTTCCTTATGGCTTGGCTGTTAGTGGCCCGCACAACTGCAAAGTACCTGTCTAGACTAATGAAGGCCAGGATCAACACGCTGCTGTACAGGTTGACTGTGTAAATCATGTGCACAGACACACAGAGGAAACTTCCGAAGTACCAACTTTTGGCTGCATCCACGGCCCAGAAGGGCAGCGTGAGGACGAACAGGAGGTCTGCCACAGAGAGATGGAGCCGGTACTTGTCCGTCATAGTTTTGACCTTCTTCTGGTAGCCCATGACAACAACAACTAATCCATTGCCAATGATTCCCAGAAGAAATATTATTCCATAAACTGTAGGTAGGAAGATCCTGTTGAAGTCGTTGCTCAGCGCTCTGTCACATGGCTCATCTGCCATCTGCCAACTCTCCAGTTCATAATCTCCAGACTCCTCTGTGACATTGTCACTATTGTTATAAAGCACAAATGAAATGTCATACTGAAAAAAAAGAAGAAATTATAATGTTAGAAAACATTTGAGGTATACATGGTAGTTTAAATTACTGGACAACCACAAATCTTGTTTAAACATGTAAAAACTTTTTGTAGTTTGACTTGTGCTTTTCTCCAACCGGCTAATTTTATCACGGAAATAATTTAGTTAGCAGCAGACAATACGTTAGCATAGTTGAATTAAACCACTGTAAACACGTGTAGAAAACGAATTAATCTGTCTACCTTAATTAAACGGCAACAAGGAACAACTCACACAAGTGACACATATGAGGTTTAAAAAAATTAAAGAAAGATTCTCACCTCCATGTTCACCGCTTGTTGTTAATATAGGACCACTGTGTGCGTGTGTGTGCTCGTTCGTGGATGAAGCAAGGTGATCACTTTGTTGTCTGTGTGCAACCCACAGAATAAATACTCTGCCACCGGTGCTCCTGACGCCTCCCCCCCCAGGGAGGAGGAGGAGCTGCGGGATGCCCTCGTCTCCAAAAACGGGTCGCCTATAAAATCAACGACTCTGTCTGTGGTAAGGGCGTGAGTTTGTGACAGTTTTTGTCAAAAGAACAAAGTTTGTTATCTCCGCTATCCGCGTTTGGAGACAAATTTAACTTCGTTCTCGTTGTGTGTTTTCATACAATAGGAAGTTAAGACTTTTCCAAACAAAATCCGAGTGTAGACACACGACCACTGTTATAGGAGTATTATAGAAATGTATGCCGAGTATCATTTGAAGTTCCTACATTATTTTAACAAAGTGTAAAAGAAGAAGTCGTATGAGTGTAATAATAACAATCTTAATGCATTATTAAGTGCACTGAAAACCCCTGTAGAAATACAGGAATTGCCAAACATGCTGTAAAGTTCTGTAAAATCACTATACAGTTACAGACATGGGGTCCACACGCCCTGTAAGAAAGTTATTGGAATTTCAGAGCAATTTTAGGACCTCACATGCTTTTCTGCTAACTTATCATCAGCCTGGCTTTTAGCTTGGCCATTCAGTGTCTTCTCCCAGCCTCATATTTCTTTCCACAAATCACAACTATGCCTGATGACAGTTTTTATCAGCGGATGCCTGAATCTGTCCTCACCTTTATACACACCCTGTCACTTCTCAAGTGCTGTTATGTCTGCACTCTCAACTGCTAAATGACCCCCAGTGGATTCGACAAGAACCACACGCCCTGTAATGTGGGATTTCTATCAAACGACTTTCAGGTCTCAGGGTGTTGAACATTCATTCTCACAGCTTTACCAACCTTCTCTCATTTCAGTTAAGGTAGTGACGACAAGGCCAGGCCACAAGAAACTCCCCGCCCTCCTCTCAAACGGAGTGGAGGGCTGTCTGAAACTGAATATCTTCCATGGGGCATGCAAATACTACTTCTGGTCTTTGATATATGAGAGTAGTGATGAGAGTCTGTCTGCATCATTGATTTCACTGATGTCACTTGGACACCTAGAGCTGCATGACAACATAACAGTCTGAAAACAGCAGGGCGCCACCGCGCTTCACAGAAGCAAAACAACCCTTTTCCCTCTCCAAACTCAATTTGTATGTATCTATGTTGGCATTAGCAATTATGATTTAAGAGAAGTAATGCATTTATTTTCATTCACAGGACAGAACTCTCCTATATCGGCACTGAAAATACTGTGTCAGAGCTGAGGTTTGGCAGCAAAACCTACACTCTGTTAAAGATACAATACTCTTTAGAACTTAATATTGCTGTGAAAACCCCCAAACTCCCCACAGCTTCAAAACATCAGCAGTGAGCTATGAACACCATTTAAAACAATAGGGTGCTTATCAAAATGGAGAAGTCTAGGAAAAGATTGCAGTCATGCCTAAGTCATAAGAAAAAACAATCACTAAAAGCTGGCATGAAAACTATTGCCATTTCTGTTGTGGCCATATTACTGAGTAGCACTTAACAACAACAGAGTGGAATTATGTTCACCCAAATATCATGTCCATTGCAGCTTTGCATATGATTGTGGTATTTTTGACAATTACTGTAGCAGGAAAACTGGGGGAAAAGGCTGTGTTGTTCCCTTTCATCATACCGAGAGAAGTGATTCAATCTGTAGCCACTTTATGAAAACTCTTACATTTTCTCTTCCAAACACCTGGTGTATGGTGTGACTAAAATCCCCTGGTGAGAGGGAAACTATGTATTTTTCATTTTCAGTTTCTTTAGAATGAGGATAGCATGTGGTGCTTCTGCAGAAGTCAAAGGAACACACAGTTTGATTTACAAGTGATTTGTTGAAAATGCAGCGCTGACACCGCACAAAGCAGACAACAAAACATTCACACATCACGTCAGCATAATGACACAACAGTGATGTATTTACAACCTAATAATGATCAGTAATTACACATTCACAGACATATTACTAGCATATAACTGGATGGATCCTGTGTTTGGGCTTATCAGAGGGGTTGTAGACAACCCCTGTGTGCTTGGCATCTTCAGATGCGCCTGCAGCAGGACTCTCGAGAAGAGGAACGGAGAATATGCAGCTCAGAGAAAGGCCACTGTATTGCTGCGATGCTCTTATCAACATCATTCAGACGCAGACAGTTGCTCTGTTATCTGTCTGCAAGCAGAACTCTGGGATTTCATCTGTG